AGCGGCCATGGCTCATGGGCCCAGCCGCTCTGCGGCACGTGGGATCTTCCCGGACCGGGGCACGAACCCGTGTCCCCTGCATCGGCAGGTGGACTCTCAACCACTGCGCCACCAGGGAAGCCCGCTATAATTATTTTTTAAAAATATGACAACTTAAAAGCTCTCTGTTAGGTTTGATTTCATTCAGGACAGATTATTTCTTTTGAACTACATCTCCAATCTTACAATGGTGATAATAGGTTTTACTAATAGAAATTTGTGTTATGGTAAAATTTTTTCAGAATGCTAGTTACTAGAATTCATCAAACCAAAGCAGTCCTACTATGTGGTAGGCCCTAGACTAGGTTCTAGGGAAACATATAAATTTAACGCTATTTCTGTCCTCAGGGATCTTGCTGTTCAGGTGGCATTTTGCGAAATGTGTTTTGCAGGTACTAGTTAAATGAGATTCCTTGGTCAAGTAAATTGGAAAAATATTGCTTGCTTCATCTCCAGTGATCTTAGAGAGTCTCATTGTATACAAGTATATTATTATGGGTAAGAGCAGTCCTACAGTAAAGAAAGCTCTTTACTAAAAGAACCCTTAAAAAAAGCTCTCTGTATATGTTTATTTCAGGGTTTCTCAAATTCATATCACACAGAAGCTCTGTGTATGTGTGTGCGTGTGTAAAAGTTTTTAACATCTTGAGGACCCTTTGGAACAGCATCACCCAATAGAACTTTCTACAGTGATAAAAATGTTCTGTATCTGCGCTGTCCAGTACAGCAGCCACTAGCCCCATGTGGCTGTTGAGCACGTGAAATGTGGTTACTACGACTAAGGAACTGAATTTTTAATGTTATTTAACTTTAATTTAAACTTAAGCAGCCATATGTGGCTAGTGGCTTCCCTATTGGACAGTGCAGCTTTGGAAGGTACTTTGAGAAATATTGATCTAAAGGTGTGTTTTACTTATTCATTCTACAAACATCAACAAGTTGATGGTGGTCACTGAGTAAAATCACCCTTGTCTTTTTTTTTTTTAACATCTTTATTGGAGTATAATTGCTTTACAACGTTGTGTTAGTTTCTGCTGTATAACAAAGTGAATCAGCTATATGTATACATATATCCCCGTATCTCCTCCCTCTTGCGTCTCCCTCCCACCCTCCCTAAGCACCCTTGTCTTCAAGGAGCTCCTAGTTTGGTGGGGGCAGCAGGTACCCACTGTGTAATGATGGGTCTAAGGGGATTACTTGGAGCACCGAGAAAGGATTTCAGCTTTGGGTGGTGTCCTGGAGGTATCCTAGAGAATGAGTATGTGTATTAAAATTCACTTCCTATTTCAAAGTGGAGTTACTACCTGTTCATTGTAAGAGCAGTTCGTATGTCTCCAGTTCTTGTCCAGATAAGATCACCCTTGGTAGGAGTTGCAGGAGTAGAGTAACTGACCTCACTCGTGTCCATTCTTCTGCCCACCAGCAGTCAAACCTTGTACTATACGGTGGACAGGGTGTGGCAGGTGAACATGAAACATGGCCCCTTTGAATACTCCCAAATCATCTTCTTAGTGGGTTTATGCTGGTGCTGTCAATCATAGTGAGTTTGATGGAAGCAGGGATGGGCACAGTGCCTGGTGTTACTGCCTCTGGGCTTGTGGAAGGCCTCTTGAAGGGGTTGAGATTTTAGGAGCAACTTTAAGTGTCTGTGTTTTGTTCCTCTCAACTGTGTTGTTCCCCTCAGACACCAGTTTTCTGAACTTTATCTTTCTTCTTTCCCTCCAGATGGTGTCCTACTCCTCCGTCCTCACAGCTATCAGTAAGGTATGACCATAGATACTTACAAGCTAGATGGGGGATGGGGGACAGAGATATGGTAGTGACAGATGGGGCCCCACCTCCTTGACTGCTCTGATGGAGTGGCCTCTGTGGCTGGGCAGGTGGCACAGCATGCCTCTGGCTGGCATGGCTGCCTCCCATTAGAGGGAGGGGGATCTAGGAAGTGGGCACCGGCAATTAGGAGCCGATTTCCAATGTTGAAAGGCTGCCGAGTCTGAAACCTGGGGTTGGAGGAAAGATGAGCAGGACTCCTGAATGCGCCAACTGCCTCATGTTTGAGACTGGGGGGTGACTGGGACACCCCGTCGCATCGCCACTGTTCTCTCCACAGTTTGATGACTTTTCCCGGGACCTGTGTGTCCAGGCTTTGCTGGATATCATGGACATGTTTTGTGACCGACTGAGGTAATGGCAGGGATGAGGAGCTCACCACCTTCCAGCATTATCTTAGTGTAAAGGAGAAGCTCCCGGCATATAGGCTCAGACCACCTCTGTTGGTTCCCACACTTCTTCCCACCTGCTCGTCTGCACCCACCCATCCACGTCTTTTTCTACTTACTCCCTTAGGACTAAAGTGCCTCTTCTCTATTTGGAGTAACTCATTTGAAATCTTATCCAGTGAAAGCCAACAGGGCAGTCTTCCCCAGGACTTTGCAAGCTTCCCAACTTTCTTCCCTAGTAAGGGAGTGCCAGGCACTCTGGGGAACATGGGTGTGGGTCGGATTTCAGCCTTTGGATCAAAGACAGATTTTGCATCCTTTCCCGGTAGCTGTCACGGCAAAGCAGAGGAGTGCATCGGGCTGTGCCGGGCCCTTCTCAGCGCCCTCCACTGGCTGCTGCGCTGCACCGCAGCCTCTGCAGAGCGGCTCCGGGAGGGGCTGGAGGCCGGCACCCCAGCGGCTGGTGAGAAGCAGCTTGCCATGTGCCTGCAGCGCCTGGAGAAGACCCTCAGCAGCACCAAGAACCGGGCCCTGCTCCACATCGCCAAACTAGAGGAGGCCTGTATGTCCCCTGGTTCCCTGAGCCCCACCCGTCACTGCTCCCATAGCCGGTTCTTTAATTGAGAGGGGAGAGGCAGGATGCCATCCCACTTTTTTCCAGGAGGATCTGAAATCATCCCACTTCCTTTTTTTTCTCCCCATAAGCATTGCATACATCCCAGGGACTTGGGCAGGGTGGCACCCGAGCCAATCAACCAACAGGTATTTACTGAGCATTATTGTATGCCCAGCACTGTGCCAGGTGCTGGGGGTGGGGGCGGGGGGCTACCGAAGGGGCATGTGGCAGGGTCCCTGCCCTCAACAAGTGTACGTGCTAGTGGGGAGCAAGGCTAGTACATGATATACATGGAAAAAACGAGAGGTCAAGACAAGCACGCCATCCATCGCTGTGTTTGTCTCCATGTTACTCATCTGAAAGCAAATAACTTTTGTGTTTGAGTGCTGCCTAAAACATCCCTTTAAATGCAGTGCCTGCCTGCTGCCAGGCCTGTTGAGCCATACGCCTGTCTACTCAAGCACAGATGTTAAACGCTGGAACCCTCCAGAGCCCGGGATCAGACGGATCACCTGGTGGGAGGGAAGACGGGTATTTCTGGACGTGGGGCCTGAAGGCCACGGTCTTGCTAATGAGGCTCGGGGCCACCTAAGGATCGCTTGTTCTCCAGTAACGAGAATGCCGGGGTGGGTTGCACCCAGGTCTCTAGGACCTGGTTGAAGAACTTGTTACAGGATTAGTATATTCATTACTTCTCAAAATATGGCTATTGGCTATGAAAAGTCCAGGAAGATGATCACTATGTAAAAGTGGGCTATGTTGACAGTTTGTCTATTTTGAGCGCTTGACAAATGTTTATTGGCTGAAAAATGAATGAACTTTTAACTTAATTTTATTGGATCTCAGGTCTTATCTTTTTGTTTTTTTTCCCCTATGCTACATGGAGGTTAATGGGCTAGTTGGTGCCATTATTCATCATTTGACCCTCTGGAAGTGTAACTAGGATAAGTGACTTATAAGTGCCAAACTATGTGGTATAGACCATGAGTCCAGGCATTTAGGAGTAAGAGGTCAGTGGGTTGGACCAGTTGGGTAAGTTGTTAAAGGAGCCGGGGCTTGAACATAGACTCGCAGGGTAGTGACTGTGTGAGGGGAGAAGGTGAGTAGGAGGGGCTTTTCAGAGGGGAGAACAGCGAGAGCAAAGGCCCAGACAGGGAGCAGGTGAACACAGAAGGCTGTTTAGGAATCCAGCTTGACTGCGGTGGAGAGCGGTGGCCGCTTGCAAAGCTGGCCCACTCTCGAAATGATTTGTGGTCACCTTCCTGTTCTGGCCACTGGACTGCAAGCCCCCTGGGCCTCTCTCTGTCACTGCCTGTCTTCTGCCGTACCTAGTTTCTGAAGTCAGCTGTGGGCGACCCCTAAGGAATCGGGCTTCTGGGGATCGTTTCTAGTGGCTTCATCATTGGTGCTCACCCCCCTTCTGGAAACAGTGCATGCTGCCCTCAGGCCCCTAGCTTCCATGCCATCCTCGGGGGAAGCCTCCCTGCGTGGTTTTTGTGGGCCCAGGGGGTGCCAAGTCAAGGAGTTTGGGGCCAGTCTCTCTCTCTCCTCTGCTCCCCATGATTCTCTGCATTTTCTTTTCTCTGCCAGCCTCCTGGACTGCCATCGAGCATTGTCTCTTGAAGCTTGGGGAGATCCTGGCCAATCTCAGCAGCCCCCAGCTCCGGAGCCAGGCTGAGCAGTGTGGCACGCTCATTAGGAGGTACCTGCTCCCAGGGGGATCCGGTGAAGGGAGAGAGGAAAGGCCCGGGTATGGGGGGGAAGATGTGGCCTCTGGCCCTGACCCCTCTGCTCTCACCTCCTCTCTGACTCTCCCTTACTGCCCGCACACTGTCCCCTCTGTGTCCCCTCAGCATCCCCACCATGCTGTCCGTGCACTCTGAGCGGCTGCACAAGACTGGCTTCCCCACAGTCCACGCGGTGGTCCTGCTTGAGGGCACCGTGAACCTGACCGGCGAGACACAGCCCCTGGTGGAGCAGCTGGTGATGGTGCAACGCATGCAGGTGGGAGGCCAGCGCTGCTTCTCTGTCCCCGGGGCGGGCTGGCTGTGCGGGGGCGGGAGGGAGGATTCTTCTGGTCTTTCAGGGGAGAAATAGGGTTTCTCCTAATTCGTGGTGGAACGTGCATGGTTCTGTCAGGTGGAATGGTTCTGCCATGTCACCTGCTGTCCCTGGTTCTTGCACAAGAGTCGGGGAGGTGCCTGTGCTGCCCTCCTGTGACCCACTGACCCCCGGGGGTCAGGAGACGGGAGGGGGGTGGGCGCCCTCTTATGCTCTCCCTTGGGTCTCCCACAGCATATCCCCACCCCGCTCTTTGTCCTGGAGATCTGGAAAGCCTGCTTCGTGGGCCTTATCGAGTCTCCTGAGGGCACGGGCGAGCTCAAGTGGACAGCTTTCACTTTCCTCAAGGTACCTGGGACGTGGGAGCCACGGAGAGCCAGTCTCAGAATGGTTCTCAGGAAGAGCGGAGACACCCTGGACCTTTGCCCCGCATTTCTCCCCGCTGACTTCATGCCCAGCTTGCCAGGTCCCCCAGCACAAGTTGCCCTGATTTTCCCTGAAGGTCCCAGGGCTGTTCAGCCTGCTTGGCAGGCCTCTGCCATGTCTTGGCCCACAGGTGCTGGGAGCTTGGTCATCAGCCATGTTGGCACGGGGCAGCTCCGGGAGCCCACTTTCACTTAGAGCATTTCCTTGTTGAGCCACGGAAGTGCGGGGTTCCTGGGCCCTGCGGGCTGAGGGCAGCGGGCGCTTGGCTAGACGTCAGCTTTTGCATTTGGCTCTTTGAGCGCTTTCACTTCCAGGGCAGGAGTGTTCCTGTCTCAACCCAGAGCAGGGGGCGGAAGGGATGCCTTTCGTTCTGGGTGAAAGAGAGAAGAAATTGAGCTTCCTGTTTTTCCCCCTGCCTCACCCTGTAGATTCCACAGGTTTTGGTGAAGTTGAAGAAATACTCCCATGGGGACAAGGTAAGTTAAAGAAATGAGATGGGGAGTTGGCATGGGAACAGGTGAATCCTTGTTACAGCTCTGGAGAAACAAGGGCAAGGGAAGGGTCACTTGGCCCTACCTGGGCGGTAGCGCGTTCTTGTGCTGGGGAGGGCTGGAAGTGGGGGTGTCCCCCGAGCATCCGTGGGCATCCACGCACAGAAGGCAGCCAGGCTGCTCCGGAGGCGAGGGCGCCCGGGATGACCAGGGCCGAGATGGCAGGGAGCAGTGATGCCCCGTGCTGTCCCCGTCCAGTCGCTGGAAGCCAGCGGTGGGCACGGCCGACCTGTAGGCTGCTGTACCCAGCAGGGTGTCATTGTGAGCCTGCATCACGGGCCACGGGTGGGCGGAGGACCTGGAAGCCAGATGGCAGTTTCTGTCTCTTTGCAGGACTTTACCGAGGATGTCAGTTCTGCTTTTGAGTTCCTGCTGAAGCTCACACCCTTGCTGGACAAAGCCGACCAGCGCTGCAAGTATGAGGTCCCCTGCTCACCTCGCTGTACTGGAAGGAGTTCCGGCTCTTCCCCTGCTCTTTGTGCCAGATCAGCACCGGGGACCGGCTCCGTGTTCCTCCTCTCGGCAGGGGCAGGAGGCAGCAGCCTTGTGGTTGCCGAGTGCCCAAGCCCCTCTGCCTCCCCTCAGGCACTCAAAATGTTCTTCACCCTAAAGGAGGGAGGATGTTGGGCAGGGCCTCACGGCTCGCCCTCCATAATCCCTGCAGTATGCCTAGGCCCCCCATCATCTTTTTCCCTCACAGCTGTGACTGTACAAATTTCCTACTCCAAGAATGTAGCAAGCAGGGGCTTCTGTCTGAAGCCAGTACGAACAACCTCATGGCCAAGCGGTAAGTATGAACTCCCGGGCTGGCCCAAGGGCCCCTTGACCACCCGCCTCATGTCCAGACTGGGCTGCTGGGTGCCTTTTCCCTCCTGTCGAGGGCTTGAGTGTGGGTGACGGGAACCACACCTAGGGTTACCAGGGACAGGAGACACTGATTTCTGCAGACCAGGGTTTTGCACTGTTAGGGCTTTAACTCTCGCCCTCCTTTGTGATCGAAGTAGAAATTGTAAGACTTCCTTCAGTCTTAAATGAACTTTCAAAACAGAGGTAATGACTAGAGACGATTTGAAGCAGTTGCGATACTGGACGCACTTTCATAGGCATCACCCGAGCCCGTGGTGCTTATGTGCTTCGCGCCTTCTCTGTGCCTCTGCTCCTGGGCCTGGACTAAGGAGCGTGTCAGGAATTCATCTCTGTTCCCTTACCTTCTCTTGTGGCCACAGCAAAGCAGACCGGGAGCACGCACCCCAGCTGAAATCAGATGAAAATGCCAACATCCAGCCCAACCCCGGGCTGATCCTCCGCGCGGAGCCCACCGTCACCAACATCCTCAAAGTGAGTGCGCTGTTCCCTTGCCACCAGGGGCATACCTTCCCTCTTTCCAGTTTCCCTCTTCTTCCAGATAAGTAAATAGGCCACGGACCTCTCTCTCTTCTGGTTACTTTGGAAGTAGAGAAAGGGGGAAGGTGAGGGAAGCGCCCCTGGAAACAAGTGTTTGTTGAGCTTCACTGGTCAGCCAGGCGCTGTGGTGGGTGTGGAAACAGCGCTGAATCGCACAGCAGAGACCTCGCCCATCCTGACTCCAGCGCCATCGTCCCAGTTTAGTCGAGAGGAATGGATCGGAGAGCAAAGAATTTAAGGAACGGATTTCCAGATTGGAGTCAGATGTCGATTAAATGGCAGGTCCTGGTATCCCGTTTAATGGAGACATGCAGAGAGAGAAACTGTGGCTAGGCTGTATCTGGGGGGGTCTTCAGTGTTCTTCAGGACTTGGTTTCCTGTCTTGTCCCCAGACAATGGATGCAGACCACTCCAAGTCCCCGGAGGGGCTGCTGGGGGTCCTGGGCCACATGCTGTCCGGGAAGAGCCTGGACTTGCTGCTGGCTGCTGCTGCGGCCACTGGGAAGCTTAAGTCCTTTGCCCGGAAATTCATCAAGTAAGGAAGCCTGAGCCCCTGACCAGGGTCTGGGAGGCATGTGTGAAGGAGGAGGTGGGGACTTCCCTGGTGGCCCAGTGGCTAAGACTCTGTGCTCCCAATGCAGGGGGCCTGGGTTCGATCCCTTGTCAGGGAACTAGATCCCACATGCCGCAACTAAGAGTTCACATGCCACAACTAAGTTCACATGCCGCAACTGAAAGATCCCACATGCTGCAGTGAAGATCCCGTGTGCCGCGACTAAGACCCGGCACAGCCAAATATAAATAAATAAATATTAAAAAGAAAGAAAGCAAAAAACAAAGGAGGAGGTGGCAGAATAAGGGCGAGGCACTGGGGTCTGAGTCTCCCCAGAGATGCCAAGGCAGAACATCCCAGCTGGAGACCTGGGGGAAGGGCCCGTTCTCTGAACCTGAAGTGCTGTTTTCTCTTCAGCTGAGGATGGAGTGCAGGTGTTTGGCAAGGTGACGAGGTGTTGGACAGCAGGTGTGGAGGGATGGTGTTCATACCCACTTATTAATAAGGGACTCTCAAATTCTGCTGACTTTTTGGATTGACCTGGAATTTGATGTGTAGAATGTTGTTCCATTCAGCGAGCCATTCTCTAGGCCTTGGAAATCTTTTAAAAATAGAAAGAGTTCTTGTTTCTGTAGCAATGGTGTTCCTTTTAAGTTGAACCCATAATTCAGACTCTAGTGACCGCCTCTCTGAGTGGGCAGAGCCCCTGACCCCAGCCGCTGCCCAGCCCTTGCCCTGGTTGATGCAACCTGTCTCCATTCCTTCTGCAGTTTGAATGAATTCACGACACACCGCAGTGAAGAAAGCAGTAAGTCAGCTCCACACACCCCCAGGCCCAGTGGTGCTGAAGGAGGGGTGTGGAGGGAGAGAACAGGGGAGGGAAGAGGACACTTTTGCTCATCCTGGGGAGGCTGTGTTCTCCCCTAGGGATGACTGACTGAAGCTTTTGGGGAGCCTTGAAAGAGGGTCATGCTGGGAAAAGCATTCTTCCCAAAACCACCCTTTGTCTCTCTCCATCCCCCGTTACGATTTGGTCAGGTGTTGGGGGAAAGGAGGGTTCAGGAGTCTTTGGTTCCAAGGAAGGGATGATGTTCCAACTGAGACTCAAGAAAAGGATTCTGAGCCTCAGAGCTTTGAAGGAGCCACTCGGTCCCTGACCTTCCTTGAGGCAGATCCTGAGCCCCTCCCGACCCAGACAAGGCCTTTGGGCCCCTGCCCTAGGCTGGGGGTCAGCCTTTTCATCCTTCACAGCCAAGGCGGCCTCAGTTCGAGCCTTGCTCTTTGACATCTCCTTTCTCATGCTGTGCCACGTGGCCCAGACCTATGGCTCAGAGGTGAGTGACGGGGAGCAGTCAGGATTGGGGCACTTGGGACAAAGGGGAAGGTAACAGCCAATAACTCTCCCCACCTCACACCCCTACCCCACCCCCGTCAATGTCCCAAGCCAGTTCTCCTGGCTGCAGAAATCAGATGCCCCCGCCCCAAGTCAATAGATGCCCCCTTGTCATGTCCTGAATCCTTCAGTTCCACACCCACCACTAGGTGGCAGCATAGCCCCTGTCTTTCCCCCTCAGACCAATTTGTCCCCAGTTCTTCAGGCTGGGAGCGGGGAAGCCAGTGGGCAGGAAGAGAGGTGCAGGGTGCTGCACCTCCCCACCCCCTCCTTTCTCAGGTGATCCTGTCCGAGTCAAACACGGGAGGAGAGGTGTTCTTCTTTGAGACCTGGATGCAGACCTGCATGCCCGAGGAGGGAAAAATCCTGAACCCTGACCACCCCTGCTTCCGGCCCGACTCCACCAAAGTGGAGTCCCTGGTGGCTCTGCTCAACAATTCCTCGGAGATAAAGCTGGTGTCAGTGGCCTGGGCGCCCACTCCAAGGGTGGTAGTGCGGGTAGGGCCCAGACCCTCTCCCTCAGCCCATCCCACGCCCCCCAGTGGTGATTTTTCTCCCATTCCCACCCTCTTGTAGGCAGATGAAGTGGCATGAAGCCTGTCTCAACATTTCGGCGGCCATCTTGGAAATCCTCAATGCCTGGGAGAATGGGGTGCTGGCCTTTGAGTCCATCCAGGTAGCCCCACCTTTCCAGCGGCCTTCTCTCTTCCCTGAGACACAGAGGCAGTCTTCGATAGCTTGTTAGATTTCCTAAGAACGAAAAGGCCCTTAATCCAGGAGCCTGTGTGTGGCTCTTGATCTTTCTCGTAGTCATAGTGTTAGCTGCTCCGTCCCCCGCAGGGAACTTGGGGAAAATCAGACCTGTGGTGAAAAGAGGCGTGGAACATGGCCCTGGATCCCACTGCCGCGCTGAGCTGCCCACGGAGGCCGGGGCGGGTGGTGGCCAGGGAAGGGGAGAGGGTGGACCCGTCACCCTTCCCCCCCTCCCCCCCCAGAAAATCACGGATAACATCAAGGGGAAGGTGTGCAGCCTGGCAGTGTGCGCTGTGGCCTGGCTTGTGGCCCACGTGCGGATGCTGGGCCTGGACGAGCGTGAGAAGTCACTGCAGATGATCCGCCAGCTGGCAGGGCCGCTGTACAGCGAGAACACCCTGCAGTTCTACAACGAGAGGTCAGCGGCCCGTCCCCTCCCTTCTGGAACTCTGCAGGTCTGTCCTGAGAGGCCAGCGCCTCCGGAAACCACTCTCTTCCTCTTCTCTTACCTTCCCAAGCGTGCCGCTCACCTGCTCAGTCTCTTCCTCACTCACTCACGTTCTCAATCACGTCTTCACTCACTGACTCAGCAACGCTTAGTGTGTGTCTCTGCCGGGAGTGTTACCATCCAGCACCCGCTGCGTGTGCGCCAGAACTACAGGCCCCGCATGGCTATGATTCCTGCCCTCAAAGGGCTCGAGTCCTGGGGAGCTGGCTTGCCAGAATGGAATGGTTATCTTAGCTCTGTCACTCTTAAGGAACTGTGAGCCCATCTGTAGATCTTATAGGCCTTGGGTCTGTCCACCCCCTCCCTACCCTGCCCCTCCAGGCCCAGCCATCTTCTGTGCCATTTTCCTGCCTGGGCTTTTCAGGGACCTGGAGGACCTCCCTAGCGACTTCAGCTGTGTTGAGTTCAGTGGTGTTGGTTCATTTGCCCATCCAATAAGCTTTTTAAAAAAACTATGGTGAAAAATACATAACATAAAGTTTACCACCTTAGCCATTTTTAAGGGCACAGTTCAGTAGTGTGTTAAGTATATTCACACTGTTGTGGAACAGATATCCAGAACTTTCTCATCTTGTAAATCTGAACCTGGACCCGTTAAACAACACCCCTTCCTGTCCTTCCCCCAGCCCCTGGCAACCACTGTCCTACCTTCTGTTTCTATGAATTTGATTTCTTTAGGTACCCCATGTAAGTGGAGTCATGTAGTGTTTGTCTTTTTGTGGCGGGCATATCTCACTTTGTGTAATGTCCCCAAGGTTCAACCATGTCATTGCATGTGTCAGAATTTCCTTCCTTTTTAAGGCTGGATCGTATGTATATACTACATTTTGCTTATCCATCCCTTGGTTGATGGACACGTGGGTTTCTTTCACTTTTCGGCATTTGTAAATAGTGCTGCTGTGAACGTGGGCATGCACCAAGCAATGAGTTATGAGTGATGACCCACAAGGTAGCCATCAGGATATCTTTTAAGAGAAGTGGAAACACTGAGCTGAAATGAGGTTGGGAGGATCTGTAAAATCCCGTCTCCTCTTTATTCCTCCCCTCCCTCAGCGTCCTCCCCGCAAAAGTCATGGACTGTTTTCTGTGACGTAATCCATTCAAAGCACCCTGACTCCTGTCTGGGAAATCTGTGGCTCCATCATGCAGGTGGAAATAGTGGCCGTGAAAGTCATAGTGACTCTCCCAGAGCCACCCAGTGTTCCCCGAACGGTTAACGCTCAGGCCCAGGCCTGCATTTCTTGTCGAAGACTCTTCATGAGAAAATTCCTGGATATACATTTATATTTGCCCAGCTACCAACGGCCGGGAAAAGTCTTGTGGGGCAGTCCTTGGGCCCCTGTCCTGGAAGTAACAGCTACTTTGGGAGGAGGCCAAGGCTGGGTGGGGAACCCCCGCAAGCACTCAGCCTAGAGGGAAGTGATTGTATTTATTTATGCCAGAGGATTGTCAGGGCCCAGGCCTGGGGGATGGAGGAAGTTGGAGAGAGAGAGTGAGAGAAAGTATGAATGAATATATTGCTAGAATGACCTGGGGGAGGCAAGTGCCCCGGCCCCCCATAGGCTGGTGCCGGAGCAGGACTCGTGGGGTCAGGTCTCCTAGGGGTTTGCAACTTCCCCTTGTCTCCTCCCTCAGCATAGAATGGGGTTAATTCCGTAACCCAAGTCCTGGGAAGAGTCGGGCCTGCCTGTTCCTGCCCCCACCCCAGCTATTGAACCTGCTGCTGCCTGAACCACAGGACCTCCCGCCTCCCTTCCCCCATCAGGGTGGTGATCATGAGCTCCATCCTGGAGCATATGTGTGCGGACGTGCTGCAGCAGACGGCCACACAGATCAAGTTCCCATCCACGGGCATGGACACCATGCCCTACTGGAACCTGCTGCCCCCCAAGCGACCCATCAAGGAGGTGCTGACGGACATATTTGCTAAGGTGCTGGAGAAGGGATGGGTGGACAGTCGCTCCATCCACATCTTTGACACCCTGCTGCACATGGGAGGCGTCTACTGGTTCTGCAACAACCTGATTAAGGTACTGGGGTCGGGGGTGGGGGTGGGCTGGGGGGAACAGGCGTCCTCAGACCGCCGGAGACAGCTGAGAAAACGCCTGACGGGACCAAGCGTGGTCTGGTCCTCTGGCTTCTCAACCCCCAGCCCAGTCGGCGGGGCTTCTCTGCGAGGCCCACTGAATGCAGAGAAGATTCCTTGGACTCCAGAGGCCGGTCCTCGCCTCGGGAGCTCCTGGGGTCTGAAGGGAGTTGCAGGACGTCACTGCCCACGTTGAGGGCCCTCAGCTCCTCAGTCCTCCTCTGCCCCGTCCTTCCAGGAGCTGTTGAAGGAGACGCGGAAGGAGCACACGCTGCGGGCGGTGGAGCTGCTCTACTCCATCTTCTGTCTGGACATGCAGCAAGTGACCCTGGTCCTGCTGGGCCACATCCTGCCTGGTCTGCTCACCGACTCCTCCAAGTGGCAGAGCCTCATGGACCCCCCTGGCACCGCTCTCGCCAAGTAGGATTTTGTGGAGAGCCTTAAGTACCCCCAGCCTGGAGTGGGGCACCCTGCCTGGGCCACCCAGGAAGCTGGGCTGTGGGGAAGCCCTGTCGGGTGGGGCCTGATCAGCATGGGCACAGAAACCGCGTTGGGGCCTCTTTGATTTTACCCCCTTTTCCTGGACCCCTTTGCCAGGCTGGCCGTCTGGTGTGCCCTGAGTTCCTACTCTTCCCACAAGGGGCAGGCCTCCTCCCGCCAAAAGAAGAGACAGCGCGAAGACATCGAGGTAGGATAGGGGCCCCTTCCCCCATTCATTGCCCTTGTGCTTGTTCAGCAGATGTTCACTGAGCCTCTTCTGGTAAGAGGCGCCTTCCCAGGCACAGGCAGCCAGGCATGGTCCCTGCCTCTGGGCCACTGTGTCAGGGGTGACTGTGTGGGAGGGTCTCTCCCTAGGGTAGTGGGAGAGGCGAGGAGAGGGAAGCTGACCCCCTGGAGATGCTGCCTGCGGCCTATGGGGGCTTGACTCCAAACTGAGCTCCAGTCCTGGAAGATTTGGGGATGCAGCTGTGGGTAACAGTGGCTCTCCTGCCCCCCAGGATTACATCAGCCTCTTCCCCTTGGATGACATGCAGCCCTCGAAGTTGATGCGACTGCTGAGCTCCAATGAGGAAGATGCAAATATCCTTTCGAGTCCCAGTGAGTGTGTGGACGGGCCGGGCGGGCTGTTTCCTTTCCCGGGAACTCACTCCTGAGAGCTGCTCTGCAGCTCGCTGGCTGGTCAGAGAGGCTGTGGTAGGAGTCTGCCGCATTCTGTCCCCTACAGATGCTCTGTTTCCTATCCTCGAGCAACCACAGCTTGCTGTGGATCACTCCCTAAGGGCTGAAGCTCTTCTTCCCAGATCCCATCCCAGCCCGGGGTGCATAGTTGACCCTTCCCCACTCCTCACGGCAGTGAGTTCACTGCCTTGGTCACAGTCTGTGCCACTGACTCACAGCTCTGACCTTCCTTCCCCTGAAGCAGGCCCCGAGACCTGGAGCAGGCCTGGGCTGGTACTTGGGACTGCTCCCCACTCTTCCTGCCTGGAGAGCACCCCAACTCCACCTGCTTCCCTAGATGTCATCGCCTCTCCCTGCTAAGGACTCTTCCGTGGCGTTTAATTTTTCCTGTTTCCAGAGGTTTCTCCTGAGCCTAGAAGTTTCTCTGAGGTCTTTTAGGGACTAGGGGACCAATTGTGCACTTGAACAGAGGAAAGATGCCATGACCTTTGGCTAGTTACTTAGCAAATCTTAGCCTCAGCTTCCTTGTCTGTAAAATGGAGATGTGAGGATTAGCGGTTTCAGCCGTATGCAGCCCGCAGATTGGCACCTGGCGTGACCAGATGGTAGTTCTCTCTTACCTGCTTGTGCGGAAGCCTGTGTTTGGGGCCCGTGTGACTGGACCCAAGCATCTTCTCCGGCCGGGCCCTCCACCCCCGGCAGGTGAGGGCTCCCGTGGGAGGCCGTTGGCTCAGTGCCCCTCGCTTGCCCCACAGCGGACCGCTCCATGAGCAGCAACCTGTCAGCCTCCCAGCTTCACACGGTTAACATGAGAGACCCGCTGAACCGAGTCCTGGGTGAGGCCTCCCAGCCCTGCTCCCCACCCTCCTCCCCTCTGCCCTCCGTCCCCCCTGATTGCCAGCTCTCCTGTCTCCCCCAGGCCCCCGTCGCGTCCCTCTCTGGCTCACCCCCAGCTTTCCTTTGTGCTTTCTCTTTTTGACATCCCCATTTGGGGGGACACCCTTAGCACTTCTTTCTTCTCCCAGAATCTGACCTCTTCCCAAACCCTTCTCATGGAGTTCTCCTTCCCCCCGCCACCCTTTCCTCACAGCCAACCTGTTCCTGCTCATCTCCTCCATCCTGGGCTCTCGGACCGCCGGCCCCCACACGCAGTTTGCGCAGTGGTTCATGGAGGGCTGCGTGGACTGCCTGGAACAGGGCGGCCGAGGCAGCATCCTGCAGTTCATGCCCTTTACCACCGTGAGTGCTGTGCCCCCAGGCCGCTGGCCCACCCTCCAGCTCAGAGCGGGTCAGCACGTCGCAGGAGGGCTTGGGGTCCGGCAGCCAGGAGGGAGGGCTCCTTCCTCCTGGACGTCACACCCACCATTACCTTGCTGAGCAGCTGTCTGTCTGTCTGACAGGTATCGGAACTGGTGAAGGTGTCAGCCATGTCCAGCCCCAAGGTGGTTCTGGCCATCACGGACCTCAGCCTGCCCCTGGGCCGCCAGGTGGCCGCCAAAGCCATTGCCGCTCTCTGAGGGGCTTGGAGTGACCACAGGGGCTGGCAGGCAGGGTCCCAGCCCCGGGCGCCTCAGAAAAGGACGTGTGGAAAGATGAGACATCATTGCTCATATCCACATGATGTAACTGCCCTCAGTCGGTTTCCAGATCTTTCCCCTGCTCCTGACTTCTGACCTCTAAGACGGCTCCCAGTTTCTTTCATAATTTCCTTTCCCACTGCCAGCACCTGAGGCGTGTGAGCAGCCTGGTTCCTTGGCTCCGGGTGGCCTCACTGCAGCCCTCCCGCCCGACCCCTGTGCGTGCCTCCCGCTTCCAAGTGTGGATTTACTTCCGGGGAACTTTACAGGTGCAGGGTATGTGTGTGTGTGTGTGTATATATATATATATAAAATCTCTTTTTACATGGGTGTGTTCTCCTCGGCTGGCTTGTAAATAAAGACCTCGTGGATCCCTCTGTGCCTGTTGGTGCTGTTGGTGCCTGTGTCCGATGGGGGTGGGGAACGGCTGGCTCCGCCTTGGACCCCTGCAGGCCCTGCTGGAGGAAGCAGGAGGGCGCAGAGGAGGGCTGGGCTCAGGGTCCCTGTTAGTGCGCTCAGTAGGGGCGGGGCGGGGCAGCGGGAGCAGCTTGCCTTCCTCATTCCCTCCTGCCACTTCCCCCCACCTCGCAAAGTCAGACTTACTCTGAAAAGGGAGAGGTTTTGGCTAAAGGCCCCGCTGGTGCTGGGGTAGGGTGTCCTGTTCTGATGTTCCCCAGCCCGGCCAAGCCCCACCCAGAGTCTGACTGGCCCGGAGTTGGATCTTTCCTCTCCGGTAAGGACTTGGGTGTATGAGGGGTGAGGGGCTGAGGCATGAGGGGGGATGGAGGCAGGAACTCTGTTTAACCCTTCTTTGTCTGGTTGTCTCCAAGCCCCGGTTCTTCAGGACCAACTAGAGAGCGGGGACCCTGAGCCGTGCAGCTGGGGGTTCTAGCCCCACTCAGCCCGACCCTGCTTCTGAGGAACCAGATGGGGAAGGGAAGTGGGAAGTGACTCAGGAGCTGAGGATGGGGAAGTCTTGGGAGGGGACCTGGGGACTGGTTGGCCGTCTGGATGTCCTTGGTCTGGTGGTGGCAGCCTGGAAGCATACATGCGTCTTCAGCTGAGAGCACAGAGAGGTTTCTCTTGAATCTGTGCTGTGAAGCGGCCCCTCCGGTCTCCGCAGGTGTTAGCTCAGGCCTCTTCAGCCCATTAGCCCCGAGACAGGTAGGAAGGCTGCGGGCTCCCCGCCAGATCAGAGGCAGTGCTTGACGAAGGACAGAAGTGCAGAGCCTGGAATGTGGGGTCCAACCCAAGCTGTCACCTTGACCTCAGCTTCCTAATCTGTAAAAGGCCCCTCATAATTCTGTCTTTGTGGGCGGCTGTGAGCATGGATGGGTGAAGGTTTATGGAAGGTGGTAAACTGAAGCCCTGTGCACATGTTAAATCCTCCCTCACTTCGGGCCCGTGTCCATCTGTGTCTGGACTGTTGAGCCCCCCAGTCCCCCTCTCCCGACCCTACTCTCTCCTCCCCCGGTACGGGTGACCCATCTACCTTCTGTCCTCCCTGCTAGGCGGCGGCTCCACGGGGCCAGGGACCACGCCTGCCTCGTTCACTGCCGTGTCCTAGCACCCGGCCCAGTGTCTGCACCCAGTGGGTGCACCTCCTCTTCCCCTCCTTCGGGCCTCGCCCTCCATTCAACTCCCTGCCCGCGACCCCTGGCCAGGCACCAGCTGGACTCAAGAAGGAGGAAGGACATTTACTGGAGACAAACACTTTATTATCGTGAAGTTTGGCTACAATGAGAAAGTGGGGGCCGAGGGGGAAGGTGAACAGTCGAGCGTCCCTCTCACACCCCCTCACACGAGCCCCCTCATCTTTTCCCTCCCACATTCCCAGTCCCACCCAGCAAGGCAGAGACACGACTGCCCAGCCTGAAAAGGAGTCAGAATCCCGACCCTGACCCCGGCGGGGTGGGGCAGGCGCCACTAGACTGATGGTGTCTGTAGCGCATCCAGAAAAACGAGGCGTCGCTGACGGATGCCTGCGCTCCCCACACAAGGAGCCAAAACGTGCCCGAAAAAAATCTTAAAACGATTCCCCAGCAAATTCGCGGGACCCCAGGGTCAAGCGTCCCGGCTTCGGCTGCCTCTGATGGGCTCCGTGCCCGAGGCAAAGGGGACTCGAGGGAAGCAGCCAAGTCAGGCCAGAGCCAGGGGTGCAAGGACCCAGTTGGGGAACACTGCTGTTTAAATATTAAACAGGGCTGTCTCATCTCCCACGTGGGAGACTTCCCGATGATTCCAAGGGCCCCGAGGTAGGCACCCTCAGGGTAGGGGTTCGCTGTGGCTCTCCCCAGAGCCCACCACGGAGCCAGGCAGGGAGGAGTCACAGGAAGTAATACTTGGTATTTACCAACTCCCTCCCAGTCCAGGGGACGGGAAGACGGGAGTTTTTCTCCCTGCTACAGGTGGGAGAATGAAACTTGGAGGTGGAGGGAAGGATCCAGGAGTCTGGGGCTCCTTTCTGTCTTCCCCGTCCTTAAATATTAGGTTTAAATAAGCATAAATATTAAATAGAGATAAATACACTGGATGGGGAGGGCTTTGCTCAGGGCTCGGCCAGGTAGCGCAGGACACGGTACGCGAGCTCCAGGAAGCTCTGCAGCTTGGAAGCAACCAGGACCCCTCCTGCCCGGCGCTGGAAGGCTGAGGTGAAGGTCGGCATGGGGCCCTGGGTGGGCTGCACGGCAGGGGCCACCCCCAGGTCTTCCATCTGTGGGGGAAGGTGAGGTCAGCAATCAGGCCCTGCTGAGTGGGTAGTTAGCACAGGGAGGAAAGGCGAAGGGCTGATGGGCTGTAGACGATCCAGGGTTCATGGTGGAGCCAGGACCGAACCCAGGTCTCTTTAAGGTCCAGTGCCCTCAACTAGGGGGGATGGGGTAGGGTCCTGGGATGAGGTGGTAGCTCCCTACATCCAGCCCACTGAGAACGTTTCTGCCCCAGCCCTAGAGAACTCCGGGGTCCCCAGGCTGGCAGCACCACCTTTGAGGACCAGCTCGGTCCGGGGCCCTAATGCTTGCTGCTCCCGAAGAGACTCACCTGCAGCCAGATGTTGGTGGCAAAGTCGGTGACGTCCAGCTGCAGTATGTCCAAGGTGGGGGCCAACTCTGGGGAGATCCCCGCGAGGGCCTGCAGGAGGCCCTGGTAGAGGAAGAGGCCGCCGTGCAGTTGGCTCAGGCAGGCTGTCTGGGAGATGGGATAGGAAAGTCAGGGGACGCTGCCTGGGCTGCTCCCCTCAGGGCCCCAGCATGGAGCCTGGAGGACTGGGGAGCCTTCCAGGTCATCCTTTCCCGCTCGTCCCCTCATCTCCCTTCTCCCCTCTGGACACTCACCAGCTGCAGGGTCTGGCTGGAGCAGCTACTCAGGGAAGCCTGGGGGATGCCCAGAGAGTGCCCAAGCAGCACCAGCTCCTCAGGGTGGCACAGCTTGTGGGTGGTGCACTGGGGATGGGAAGGATGCTGAGTGAGGGGGACTGGCAGAGCCGGGCGGCTCCTCCTTCCCGAGTGCCCCCATCTCTCCACATCCACGTCTTCCCCTCCCTCCACGTCCCGCCAGGCTTCCCAGCCCTGTTCCTCCGTCCAAGCCCCCAGCCAGCCCCTCCCAGCACTGTCCCCTAGAGGTTCTTCCCCCAGTTCCCCACCAGCCGCCGGGGCTCTGCCTCTCCTAATTTCCTCCCATTTCCCCTGAGTCTCTCCTCTCCCATCCCATGTCCCTTCCCCATGGTTCCCTTTGCTTCCCTCTGCTTCTCTCTCTCCCCTCAGCTCTGCCCCGCACACCTTCTTTCCTCCCTGCCCGCTGCTGCAGTATCTCTGTCCCCTCCCTGTCCCTCCGCAGGCTGCCCTCACTCACCAGCCTCTCCTGCAGCTCAGCGCCATCAGCCTGGATTTTCCTCACTTGCTCTAAGCACTTAAGCAGGAAGCTCTGGGGCAGGGAGCTGGCAGGGCCGAGGGGTGTGGCTTCTTGCACCGTCAAGAGTGCACTGTGCCAGAGCAGCAGCTGCAGGGCTGGGAGCAGACGGGGGCTCAGGAGACGTGCAGACCTTTCTGGGAGCCCAGGGACCCTGCCCTCTGCCGCTCCGGGCCCCGCAGCTCTCCCCTCCTGGGGCCCGGACACTCACCCATCAGCTTCATGGGGCTCTGGGCAGCAGGTTCAGCCGGGGGTCTGGATGGGTCTGTAGGTTCTGGGTTCTGTCAGGGACCAGGTCCAGGGGCCTTTATACACAAGCCCATGGAGGCCTGGGAGGAAATTACCTGGTGCTGCGACTAAGGCTTAGTAATAACTTCCCAAGATTTATGCAAATTTGGTGTCCAGGACAATGCAGGGGGGTTGGGACAAAAAAAAGTGTTTGCGAAAGTTTTGTGAAATTGTGGAATCTCTGATTCTTCTTTGACGTCTTGCCCCCCTCAAACTCCCTTCCTCCCCTCAGCCCCACCCAAGTCTGAATTGCCCCAGAGTGTTTGAACTGAACCGCTGAACCAAAGCTGAGCCAATGATAAAAGCCGGGGAGGCTGGAGTCAGGTCGACCCCGGGGAAGAGGCAGGCCTAGGCCTCCGGGCCCTCCCTCCCGCCCTCCCCTGGCACATCTCCTGGGTCAGCCCCATTTGCCACTCTCCCTTGGGATTCTCAAGCCACCTGCTCCCTAGGCCCCCAATTCTGAGAAGGAAGAAACCAGTTGCCCTATTTCTATCCCCCCCCAATTCCCAGAGGCTGCCTCTCTGAGTGCCCTCTTGAGGGGCCAGGGGCCTGAGATAGGAACATTGGAGTCTTGCCTCCTCTCCCCACCGCACATGTTGAGAGGCATCACCCTGGTTCCTGTCCCGAACTGGTTAGCTGGGAACTCCCCAATCCCCCCCATGACTCATTCCTTTAAGCCCCCGGAATCCTGGCAGAGACCAGAGGAAACCGGATGTCTGTCCCGAATGAAGCAAGACCCATTGAGGCTCTCGGTTCAGGTTCACCTGACCTTGCCCTTCCTCCTCCCCGCACCACCCCCCACCCCGCCCGCACTACCCCTCCCCCCTAGTGTCGCAGTGCTTTGGAGTTGAGGGTCTGGGACAGGTGGCTTCCCTGGCCAGGTTCACTGCCAGCGGGCATGTGTGTGCTGCCCTGAGTGGAGAAGCGCTAGGGTGAGAAAAAAGAAACCACCCGGCTTCAAACCTGAGAACCACGTACTCTTAGCGCTGGAAGGGACTTTGGAGTCTGTTCCAACCCTGTGAACCGGGCCAGTGAGGGAAGAGGCTTGCCCAAGGTCATGGGTAGCAGAGTCAGGGTTATAATCCAGACCTCTGCCTTGGGCCTGAGAGTTTTCCACAGGCCATGGGGCCTGCCTGGGGAAGTCTGACCAACTGCACGCAAGACTGTCATGTTCTGTCCCAACAGAA